TTTCATGCTGCAATCCCTGTGCTAGTTTTGAGGTACAGCAGGACCATCTTCTTTCTAACAGCCAGGCTGTAATAAACCCCTAGCACTGGGATGCTCTGCAGCACCCCCAGAGCATCTGGTCAGTTGGCACTTGCCAGGCAATCAGTATAGATGGATTTCCCCCACTAGAAATTACAACCCAAACTTTAATCCTTTTTTTAAACAAATAGATTGACTGGTTTCAACCAAATGGAGCATTTGAGATGTAACATTATGGCAAATCAGAAGGGAGGTGCAACTGCTAGGGAATTTTATGAGTTTCTGGCTGGACCATTGACATCAAAATTGAAGTTATTGTATTCTTGGACAAAACAACCATTGGATTCCATTAATGGGCTTGCCTTTACTTTAGGCAGAGCCCCATAAGAGAAGGGTTAACTCCGCCCCTCTAGAACTTCACATATACTATCTAACTGGGGGCCAACATAACTTCTCCCTGACTATCCTCTTTGTAATAAGCTCTGCATGTGAAATAGAGCCAACACTCTACTGAAAATACAACTAAAGTTACACAGACTTTTCATTTTATTTGGAATTTTTTGTATATCCACGATTGTTGCCTCCCCTGGTTTTTCCCTTCCCCTCATTTTCTAAACAAAACCTTAAAAAAGGGCCATGACATTTAAAAGAGATTTCTTGCTCAACTGCTCTCTTGCATGAAAGACTACAAGTTTACAATGTCACTGTTAATGTTTTCTTAATATTAATTTTAGGAGTTAGTTAAATTCTGTGTTTCTGGGCTTTGAGAAGAAAATTGGAAGCACTTTTTTTGCTATTTTCTTATATGTGTGAGCAAAAGGGAGGCATCCTTTGCAAAAGGGTTCAGAAGCTTTCCAAGCTACTGGACAGACCAGGCTAGGAGGTTCAGCCTGACTGTCTACAGCCACACAGAAATTCTGTTTCCTGGGACCCTTTGAAAGAAGAAGTCCCCTGAGGAGGAAAATTCCTTCCTGTACTTGTTCCCATAACAAGGCCCATTTCTTAACACCAGTCAGGAAGGCAGCAACCCACAAGTTGCATAGGGAAAGTAACATGATGCCTCGTTCCTCCCCAAAGCAGGGAAGTGCATGTCTGGTGTCCAGTTTGTTTCCTGTATTCAGTGTGTGTGGTTCTTTTCTTTTCAAAGGGTGATGCATCTGTACACACACACACAGTCTGTGCCAGCAGAATACCAAGTTGCTGGAATGAAAAATAAAGAGTTTAACTTTACATGGCAACATTTTGCTCATAAGGAAAAAAATTCTCATAAGGATTGGTTTATAGTGTCATTTTCAACATTCATCTTCAATGCAGATTGCTTTGTATCCTCTTAAACTGAATGACAATGAGTTTTGCTATTATAACAGAAAGTAGCAGGCACTGGGATTCTGGCAAAAGCAGGGGGTGGGCAGTGTGGAGGGTCTGCAAAAGAGCAGTTTGTTGTATTTGAAGTCCTCTGATACAGGTGATGTTAAAGAGTAGTGGCTTCTGAAAATATGCAATATTGATAGCTGAAATGAAATGGTGCAGAAGAGCTAACCAAGACCTAGGATCAAACTGGAGTCTGGATGCTAAGCCCAAGTACAAAGTCTGTGGGAAGAGTTTAAAAAGCACATTTCCTCAAACCGGAGCCATTGGGACTTCCAGGGCAGAGGGCAGGGTGACCAGTAATAGGTGGAGCCAACTAATGCTGGTCCTCTCCCCATTCTCTTCCATTGCAGCAACACTAAGAAAATCAAAACACTGCAGTGCAATTTCTTAATTTTGGGCCATGGTTCTATTTTGAAGCTCAAAGACAGAGGCTTATGCTATTCTGTGCAAGGTAGGAGACACCATAGAGGTGATCTTCATTTCCCCAAGCTCATGGTCTGCATTTTCAATGGATGATCTGGCCTTGGATCTAGGAAAATGACATATCCTACGGATCCTCAGGCACTGTTGAACAGCCATAGAATTTCTCTCTGAATGATCTGAGAATAATATTTTACCATACTGAAGAAAACTTTGTAGATACCAGCAACTACCAAAAAATTAGCCTGCTTCCTTCTGTGTCTTTGCAATCCTCTGGTCTTTATTTTCTTTAGTTTCCCCCATTGTGCCTATTCTCCTGTGCAGAAAATTGTGGTGGGGAGGGGAGGGGGTAATAAAGGGTTTACTTAAGCCCATTCATCAGATATGGAAGCAATTCTTGTTCTAGACACCATTCTGAACATTTCAGAAACCTTTTCTTCATAGCACAATAGTGAGCCCAATCAGTTCAGGATCTCATGGTGTTAATTAAATACTTGAATTCTGGTAGTAATGCTTTTTCTCTAATGGACTCATATATCCAAATGGTTTATGTTCATTTATCATAAGAGGTTGGTGGGTTTTATTGATTTAAGATTAGCTTTACTGAATTTCTATGTATTCTATTTATTTAAGTCTTAATGTAGGGGAATTGACAAGTCAAAAAGTATGGAAAAGAAAAGTGTGTGGGAAATGGGACATCTAAAGAAGTTATAAATTCTACCAAGTTTGTCTGAGGTTTAATGTAGGTTTCCAGGCTTCTCCACCAGGTGCCTTCAGATTTCTTGGACTTGGCGCCAGAAGGTCCCAGCCAGCTAGAGTGGAATGGCCTTGTTTTTTCTCCCATATTCTCACATTTAAACCATTTTTAAAGCTGATCCCTTAGGGAACAATCCCATGTATGTTTAGCCAGATAAAAGTGTCACATGCTCATAGGATTACAACCTTACTCTTGTTGGTGGATATAAACCAGGAATGCAGAATTTCAGGCCTGAGAGCTTAATCGATCCCCACAAGTTCTCCAAATGGCCCCACTTCTTTTCTGCCGACCACAGAGCCATGGTTTCCTGGCGTTTACACAGTCTTTCTCCATTCTAAAAGACTGAAGAGCCTCTCCCAAGGTGCTAGCAATGACAGCTCCAGGGTTCAATTCTCTGTTTAGACTTGCTGGCTGGGTACAGCTAGGCGCTGAAGGCCCTTTTCTGTCTAAATATGCATAGACCAAAATATTAGAGGCATATTGGACTCACCTGGTTTTGGTTTGTGCTACAACATTGTCCCTGAATTCAACATAGAATTTGGCCTTTGAGTTGAAAGAGGTTCAGCACTCCTAAGTAAGCTATGTGACTAAGGGTGCAATCCTATGCAGAAAAAAACCCTGCAAATTTCAGCATGCCCCGAACAGCCACGATCACAGCAGGACAGCACCCTAAATCAATTAGGGTGCCAGAAGGCTTTGTTGCTTCTGTGGCAGGCGAATGCAGGAACCCCTTTGGAAGTGCAAAGTATCCTGCAGTCCTCAGGTGCTCCCTGAAGGCCTGAGGGTTGCTTCTCCTAAGTGGCAAAAGCTTTTTGTGGGTCCACAAATTACAAAGAAATGGAGTGGTGCCCTCAAACCCATAACAGATATTCTCTCTTTCAGTTAGATAAACTACACACAGTAAAATTGACATTGCAGTTACAAATCAAGCTTGTGGACTCATGGATGGAGCAGCTGAACAAATATGGATTGTATTGTATATGCTCTTTTGTTTTTCTAGGGCTTTTCTATTGCTACCTTTCAATTAACTCTGAGCCTTTGTTACAGGGATCTAATTAATTCAAAATGAATATTGGAAGGAAAAAGTGGAAACAAGAAAACCAGAAGGACAAATGCATCCTTATTTTCTGTTACCATTTGGGCTGAAGAGGTCAGCAAAGAGGTGTTCTAATGGTAGCTGTATTGTTAAGAGCCAGACTACTGTATTGTAATCTTACATTACACAACACTGGATTTTTGCTCATTAGAACTTATTGCCTCACACGGATCATCATTACCATCTTTGGCTAGGTAAAGAGGTCTGCCTTTCGCTCTTTTTTCAAGGAGAGGCAATTTCAAAGATGACATTTGCCTGGAAAGTGGGTTGAAAATACAAGGAATAAATAATACAGTTATACGCAGAATAACGATATGAGAAATAATGCTCTCTGTGATGCCTTTTAACTTGGAAAGATTATTGCACACACCTTCCTTTGAAATGCCAGCGTTCACATATTAAGTAGGTAGGTGGTGATGAGAAATTGGCAGTTTGCTATCTTTCCTCTTTCAGCTTATGAAAGTAACGATCAGCGCTAGTATGTAGGGGCAGAATTGTGTGGCTTTGGTGGTGACCCCGAACCTTAAAACCATAGTTCAGGAGAGTGTGAGCACAGGACTTGTGGTTATGCAACAATCAAAAGTCCGTCTTATTCAGTCGGCCAAAAAGAAGAAATTTCATGCAAGAGTCAAAGCCCATCGTTCTCTCTGCCAGGAATGTGGTTGTGAATCGGTCCTACTACTGAATCGTGGAAAGTCAAGTGCTGCCAGCTATTTTGCTGCTCTGTTTTCTTTAGCATACGAGCTCTTCTAAAGTCCCTTTTTTATTGACTGGCTTCTGGGTTTCAACCTGTCCCTGCTCCCCAGATGTTGTTGCTGGACTACAAATCCAGTCCTCCTGACAATGTGGAGGTGAAGTCTGGGGCTGGTGGGGGTTGTAGTCCAACACATCAGGAGGGCATCCGGGTGACGTAGGAAGGGCTTGCACAGCTCCCTAGACGATATTCCACAAAAGTCTTTGATAGTTCCCTTTGCACCGATTTATTTACAAGGCGAAGTCGGCTCCAGAGTCTCTCCCCTGGAAGATCACCTCGCCCTCTGTCCTGGCGGGCGAGAGGAAACCTGGATCGGATGCAGGGCGGCTCGGGCAGGGGCAGGGGCAGCGCCAGCCTCGCCTCGCCTCGCCTCGCCGCCTGGCTCGCTCCCACTTTCCCTCCGGGCAGCAGCAGGTGGGCGCCCGGGAGGCGGCGCGGGGCGTGTCTCCGGCTCCGCCGCCGCCTGAAAACCCGCCCGCCGCTCGGGGTCAGCAGCCAGAGCAGCCTGGAGCGAGCGGCCCCGCGCCCGACCCAACCCGACTCTGCCGCTGGGAACCGCTCCGTCCGCTGCGCGGAACAGCACCATGGACAGCGACTCTTTGCAGGGCTTGGACGCGGCGGGCTTTCTGCGCCTCTGGCAGCGCTTCGACGCCGACGGTGAGCGCGCCCCGATCCGGGACGGGGAGGAGGTTTCGCTGCCGGCACCGCCCTCCCCGAGCCGGCGCCCTCCGGAAGTTTTGGACCGCAACTCCGTTGGCGAAGCTGGCTGGCGCTGAGGGGAGTTGAAGCCCAAATCGTCTGAAGGGCTCCAAGTTGGAAGCCGGCGGGAGACTCCGCTGTAAGGGGCTCGTGTGGAACGTGGGAATGCTCCTTGGTGGGAGTTTACCTTCTGTTTTGGAAGCCAGTATTTGCCTTGGTGCCGTCCAGCACAGCCGTCTCCCACCTGGCGCCTCCTAGAAGTGCCGGGCTACATCCAGCCAGAAGCTGGGAGCTGGAGCCCGGTGCATCGGGATGGCTGGGCTAGGGGAACCTTCTCTGGTATCTTTTCATGCTGTGTGAAGTTGGTCCCCCAACTTCATACGGCCATGATCTTTGCATTCCTGCTATCACCTTGAAGGTCTTTGGCTTGTAGCTTTTGCTAGTTCCACAACTTGGCATTAGGGCTGTTGTCAGTCTGAGCCACGTAGGCAACAATTACACACTTTTCCTGGGATATAAATCCCATGGAACTTGCTGATTCCTGCCTGTGTGAACCTGTTAATTTACTGGTTAAAATAAGGATGATTGTATCTCAGAACTGAAGCTAGTTTATAGATTGTGGTGGTGACTGAATTGCCAATGTGCACGATGTTTTACAGAATAACAGAAGCGAAAGTACAAGTCCCTGCTCTAAATTGTCTCCCCTGGTTAAATATCATTTTACATTGTAAAATATCTGAATGCACTATTATTTATCAGATAAATGCTTAACTTAACACATACTTAGATTTCAGTCAGACCTACTTATTCTAAATTATTTTTTTTAAAAAAATCTTCAATTAGTGCATTCTCCCATTCACACCTCCTCTCTTCGTTCACTTGCTTCAAACTTGCGAAAAAAATCTTTTCAAAATCTTCACTCTGGAATGTGCTTGCATCTTGCATCCACTTTCTTCCATGTGTGTATCAATACCATTATTGATATAGACTGCTCTGTATAAGCATAGAATTTAAATAACGGATACAATTTCACTCATGTCAAAAAGGAAGCTTCTTGAAAATTTGGCCCCATTTATTTATTTGAAGAAGACCCAAATAAATTAATAGTATTATTCTTTTTTCAAAAAAGTCTAGTAATATGAAAACCAAACAACATATTACTTATGCATGCCAGTTTCATTAAATGTATTTTAACTTTTCAGCAATAAAGATGACATTCAGATTTATAACATGCTCATGCTGTGCATAATTGGTTGGGTTGAGGGTCAATGTTCAATGTATTAACACTATCTTTAGTGATATATATTCTAATTAATTTTAGACAATGGTTACATAGAAGGGAAGGAGCTTGATAACTTTTTCCATCATCTGCTAAAGACATTGAGCAGTGAAGTAAGTACTACATTCTATTATCTGCATGTGGAGCCAAGCATGAAGTGCACATAATTCCTAGCTGGATGGGGTGAACCTTTGGCAAATAGGTGCTGAACACAATTTCCACTCCTCACTCCAGCAGCTGGAAATGTGTGCCCTGCAGGCTGAATTTACTCCCTCCTTCTGTGCCAAGCAGCTGAAAGGCAGATTACTAGTTTTAAAGGACTCCCTGGGCATTGCCTTGGCTACCTGATACCTCCTTGTTTGGATCCTGATGGGTGTTTGACCACATTTGTCACCCTGGCCACTTATTTCCCTGGCAGTTCCTAAAGCAAACAATGCTGCTGTTTACTGAAAGCAAAAACTCCACTTAGGTTCTTTTTGCAACAGGTGTACCAACCTCATGATTGCAGGTTTCCAAACTTGCCACCCACTCAGAGGTCATAATTTTGGCATAAAGCAGAACTGTTTTCTTAGCAAACTGCCCCCCTCTTCCATGTTCAGTTAGAGTTACACTCCAAGCGGTTTGCATACATATTAGGTTGGATACATTAGAGGAAGAACAGAAGGGTGTGTGTGTGTTTTTGCTTGCTGATTCTTTTTGCAGATGCACTATTCCACTTTCCAGAATCAATTAGCATGGGGCTTTCTCCAGAGTTAATTTACACTTGCTTAGGAAAATGGATCTGTTTAAAAAGAGCTGTAAGACTAACTGTAGCATCAGCTGCATGACCAATTATTTGCATATCATCGTCTATTTCATTTAAGCTGACATATTGCCTGATTATTTTTGCCTGCTGTTTAAAGCAGTAAAAAAGAGCACACAGCCTCAGCAAGTGGCTCCTTTGCCTATTCTCTGCTATCAGAAATATGACAATCTGGTGCTGTCCGGATGTTTGGACGCAACTTCCATCACCTCCAACCACAAGCAAGTTAGGTTAGATTAACACTAGATCCCATCAAAGAAGGCAGCTTCCCTGTACCTTGTGCCCACCAGGTGTGCTCGGTGTCACTCTCACAAAGGCAGTGTTGTGGCCGGAGTCTTCCCCCAGCTCTTCTGAAATCCTGGTTTCCACCAAACACTTCCTATCAAAATCCAAGTCTGCAAAGACCTCGGGCTTGATGGTACGGACTCATTGTTTTCCACAGCGGTCATTTTCTACAGTGACAATGACATTCTGTTTAAAGAACTAAACACAGGGAGGGAAACAGCGGACTTCCAACCTGGCTCTTGTAATGCTCATGGCTTATTTGCAGCAAAATTTGGGGATGGGAATTGCACTGAACCCTTCACTCATGTCCTAGTCTTCCCCTACAAGTGTCCCTGCTCCAGCCAGTTTTACATATTAATACCAGTAGTAAGCCTGGCTGGAGAAAATACGGTCGTAGAGCACAATTTTGCAATGTGATAGTTTCCAGGGGAGATGTGGCTGATGCAGAAGTTAGCCCCCTTCACTCACACCTGCCCACAAAGCCTTGCCGGTGAGCGCCACCCTGTCCCCCAGATATCTTGGCACCCTCGCTATGCCTGTGGTGTCAGTCAGCTACGTCTCTGCGTGCATTTAATGTACACTTCTGCAGTTTTGCTGTATTGTAGGCCATAAAGATGGAATAATTCTGTAAGGTCATAGAGGTGAAAAATGGTGAGTTAGCCAATATATTAATTTCACAGTGACTTTTTCAACATATGGATTTATCAGATGAAATGAGCATGCTTACTTAGCAATTAAAGCAGTGGTAGCAGAAGGAGTTATTTCCGTGGTTTGAAAATCTGGAGTGCAAAATATAGTATTACGGGCTCTGGAAGTTGTCTGTTGAATAGCAAACCATTTCATAATGATTGTTTTTAACCTCTATGCTCCCCGTTGTTATTTCTCCCTAATGACCATTGTAAGTCTGCGTGTTTTCCCCCCTGCAGCTACTCTGATGCGCTCTTATCTAACATTAAATGCAAGAAACACAACCCCAGCTGGAAAAACAATAGAATGGCAGGATCCAGCAGGCATGCAAAAATAGGGAGAGGGAGGAGTAAACTCTGGCAGAGGAAATACAGATTCAGGGTTTGCTTTCAGATGAGGTTGGTGTACTACAGAATCCTGGGCTTAATTTTTGTGTGTGTCCAAAAGGAGAACTGAGAATTATGTGCATGACATTTGCAGGGGGATAATCAGAGTAGGGATTTGGAAATGTCTCTTTTCACTGTGGAAATGGGAGCTCAGTTTGAAAAAAAAAATCATTAGATGTCCTTCAGGGTAGCTGCGGATGTCAGGGATGCATAATGGTGTGAATCAGGAACAGTGAGTTGAATTCTGAGCACTTCCAACTTCCAGTAGTGTAAAACTGTGAGTAAGATGAAGCATGCCTTAATCATAGTGACCACTGGCTGTTGCTACAGGACAGGGACTGATGGCTTAAGTTCACAACTTAATTTCAGATTTAATGGAGAGCATAATTTAATATTTCTCCTCACTGATTTCCCATTAAAGCAAGAGTTCACAAAGCTTCACATAATAAAAGCGCTTGTACAAACCTCAAGCAGACATTTTTTGTTGTGTGTCTGCTACTTAGAATTCAGGAGCTTTAAATTTAAGAAGCTTAACTTTAAAAGATGAAGATTGCTACTGAAAGGGAGCAGAATGCATAACTTTCTAGTCTTTTCCTCTTTTGTTATGCAATTTTCAGTATTTTAGAGAGTGAATTTATGAACCCTAGGTATCATGTGAGCCATTTGATACTTTGGATTCTGAGATCTGAGGTCAGAAACAGCTCTGACTTTGGAGTTGGAAAGCCACACTCTGATCTCACACGCCTGTGTCCCGTCACAGTTGGTGGGGAAAGAATTGCACTCGCTGCCTATCCAGGATTGGTAATCAGACTTTGGAGGGAGATGAAGGGGGCTCTCTGGTTAGCAGGAAGGAGAAAAGACTGCAGAGACCAGTGTATGATAATTCCCATGATCTCTGCAGCCTTCTTGCCTCCCCTTCCAAACTGCTCCAGCCAGATAGCCAAGAGCAGCCATTTAGCAAACTTGTAGAGTGGGAGAATACTTCCGCTGCAGGTCTTGCGTGGCTGAACTTAAAGAGACACGACATAATGTATTATACCCAGAAAATTGGTTTCATCCGTAACTATAAGGTCACTCTGTTGCTTTTCATAACACAGAGCACCATAACTGAAGAAAAGGTTGAGAGGGTGAAAAAGCGATTTATGTCCATATATGATGTGACTGCGGATGGACGCTTACAGATACAAGAGGTACTTGCTATTTTTTCTTTTGAACTTCTGGAGAAATGATCTTAGGTAATTGAAGGATGCTTCCTGCACTACCATGGCCGGGCAACAAAGACTATTAGGCTATGTGGTGTCAAACCAACTGTCCAAACATCCTTTGAACAAAGCACCTTGACCTGATTTGGATCAGTTGCTGCAGCTGCTTTGCAATTTCTCCTTCTGCCCTGCCTCATCCCTAACCCTATAGCTGTGATATAGCTGTGTACCTTTTACTCCAAAACCATAGATGAATTGAGAAGCGTGCTTAGGTTACAAACATGTATTCACTAACTTGATATTACTATTATTTTAGCTTGCAAATATGATCTTGCCAGAGGATGAGAACTTTCTCCTGCTTTTCCGAAGAGAAACACCTCTGGACAACAGTGTGGAGTTTATGCGGGTGGGTGTGATTTCCTGTTGCATTTGGCAGAATTTCTAGACAGTATATGTTGTTGATTGATATATTTGGCACACATCAAAGTCTAAGCTGCATTTGTTGAAGGCCTGGTCAAACCTAAATGGATATAAAGCCACCTAGGGAGGCCTTTTGGCAGTTATAGGAGGCCTAGAAATATGTGAGTGAGCGAGTGAGTGAAGCAAGAGATGGAGGATCTGACTTTTAGAGCAAAAAGGGCGAACAGGTGAAGGAGACCTTGGCCTCACCTCCCTACGCTCATTGCCTTGTTTCCTCCTTGCTCTTTTTCCCCAGCTGTGCTCACTGCCAGTTTTACCATTTTCAAGGAGAAAGCTCCAGAGGTTTTTGGGCAGCAGGCAAGTAAGCTATGGAAGGGGAAGGTAGCATTTCCATGCACACACACATGCACACTGCATTTGCTCTAAAAATTGTCCCCACCTCCTGCTTTATGTATATTTGCACCAATAGCATCCTTTCTACCTATCTGCCCTGAAGCACAGTGCCTTAGTTTGCACATCCAGTACAATCCAGTACAGAACGTTTCTGCCATGAGGAAGGGACAGCAACTTGCCTTAGGTGTTTCAGTGGGAGCTGTTATGAGCTGCTAACTAAATTCAAGAATATAATTATGAGCTAGCATTTTAAAAGAAGCTCAGAGATATGCTGTCTGATGTTATTATACCTTTGCACTTTGGAACCTTGGAAATATAACACTTGGTACTTAAAAGGCTAGACCAGGGGTCGGCAACCCGCGGCTCCGGAGCCGCACGTGGCTCTTGAACCCCTCTGCTGCAGCTCCATCAGTCAAAATGCGCGCCAGCACAGCTGCTGATCTGCTCGAAGCTCCACTCAGGAACCCAGCATTAGCTAGTTAAGTAAATCTAAGTAAATTGCTACATTCCTCTGCTAAACAAGCTTCATGCAGGCTCTCATGTTACATGAAACTGCTGAAAAGATTCTCTTTGTCCCAATGTAATCTCCTTCATCTGAATGTTAAAAGCTGAGCTTGGGACCTGTCACATTTCACAGCACTTGACTGTTTGTAATCAGTCACTAAACACACCTATATCTCGGGCACAGCCTGCTGATCTGCAGATCCCTGCTGATTTACTGAGCTCCCCCACCCTATAGGCCAACCATGGATAAATCTAAGAAAAGAAAAGTTTCTGAAGAAAACCAAACGTTTAATGGTACATGGGTAGATTCACTTGCTCTTACTGCTGACGAACTTCCGGAGTTTGCTGTTTAATGCATGCAGCCCTTTAGCACTGACTTTGACTCTGCAGGAAGCTGTGCTCCTATTCAAAATATATGAAAGGAGTCCTACTAGTTTATAATGTAAGATTAAAAATAACAGTTTTTAGTGACTGAACAAGAGCTGCAGCTAAATCATAATGAAGATATACATAGCATTAAGGTAAAAAAAACCGATATATGCAGTATTGCCTTCATTTTAGATGTCAAAAGGCTTTTGTGGCTCCCGGTGTTTTCTTTTGTGTGGGAAATGGGTCCAAATGGCTCTTTGAGTGTTAAAGGTTGCCAACCCCTGGGCTAGACATATGGGAGGGTGATATATGCATGTAGCTAACTACCTTCTTCCCAGGTATTGTCCCAGAATGCTCCCTCCCATCTTTCCAGTCCAATATACAACTGGATTGACTTGCCTGCAGCAATGGGAGGGAGAGCAGGGAATCTGTTAGTACAGCCTAGGATAGATGGGGTGGAAAATAGTTATCCAGATGTTCAGGACTTCAATGTCCAGCACACTTACTTATTAGAGTAAGAATTATTGTGATTGCAGCATGGTGAGTAAGTCTATCATTTCAAAGTGCCACTTGGGAACCTAGAGTGGTTGTCTGCCACTGGCTTTGCTTTGTTTTACCTGGAGGAGAATTTATGTGATGCAAAAGAAGAGGGAGATAGCCAGCAATGCTGGCTGCAGCCAGAACCATGTGGGGAATTGGAGACTTTGACTGACAGCCTTCCCATGGAACACTCAGGAAAGCAACCTGGCCCACCCCCCTTGAGCCATTCTGCTCTTCCTGAAATGCAGGAATCAGAGCCTGAAACAATTCACCCCTCTGACTAGCATTGATTCAGACTCAAGCAAAACAAACTCAAATGAAGGCACAGCACCGCATGAGAACTCCCTTAAAAGCAATGTGCTGTCTGAATAATCAGCTGTGCTGATTTTCCAGCAATTATAAATTAGTCCAGATGACACCAGTTTGCTGTTGCAAACAACAGTATTTCCACTCTGTGCTTCACCTTCCTGTACTGGACCTGGCAGGTTCCTAGACCTTCTGTTGTGCACCCGAACCACTCTCCTGGACATCTCTGACTGACCTAGATATTTGATATGATGGACCTTATGCATTGAACTCTGGACTGCTTTGATCTCACTTATCATTTATTTTTTTAATTAAGCGAAAAGTCCCCAGAATAACTCTGGCCTGGTTTTTTCCTGTGCTATTCCTGAAATATTTCAGCCATAACTAAGGGTCCCTGCTGGCCTTGGAGCAGGATGACACAGTGAACTCAGCTAGAGCAGCAAGGGTGTGTTGCTGCTGTTGCCATGTGGCTTGATGGGAACAGTGTGCCAAGTTTGGATGACACTCCAACCTGTTGTTGTCCCAACAGCCCCTAGAACAAGTCTTGGCTGGCAAAATGACTTGCTGTCCAAAAACAAGTCACCCTGTAGGGCGTCATCCAAGTTCATAAGAATGAACAACTCACCATGGCTGCTTACCCATGATGGGTTCTCGTGTAGTCCAAGTGCAGTTGTTAGCATATGTTAGTTGTAGCCTATTTACAATATAATAATTTATGCAAACTTCTGATATCCAGAAACGTCTTATGTTCTAAAACACATTCTTAAATAATGTTGTCGTACATGCACTTTTAAAATACGTATTTAAAATGATAATGTTCATATTTAAACATGATAACATTTACCATGTTTTTGCCTGCAGATTTGGCGACAATATGATGCTGATAGCAGTGGTTTTATTTCAGCTACTGAACTCAGAGTAAGTGCACTAAAGAGTCTTGTTTTGCTTTATCTAGATGCCTTCCTTCAGTCAGTAGTTACCCTTTGATCACATTTCATATGGCTGACGTGAATAGCTAAAAATAGAGCATGTATCACCGAAAAAGAGGACCAAAATGTATATCTATGTACAGATGCAGATTTAGAAACAAATATTAGCGTTTTAATAGAAAAACAGTGCGGAGGACCTGCGTGTGGAAGAGGGTGCCCTTTGTGCCTGGCTCAGTCTGCATTCTGGGTTCCACGGATGGGCAGCCTCCAGGCCCAGCTGCTCCTTCTGATGGATCTTCTTCTTTGGACTGGGCAGTCCTTTAGACAGAGGACCTTTTCAAACTAGAGGCCAATCCTCTGTTAAAAAAAGATGCATGCCTATCTTAAAAATATATTTAAATACTTTTGAACAAATGTTTTAGCTACTCATGAACCACATATGTGGGACCTTTAAGCTAGGCCTTGATTTAGCTTATTATTTCCAAAAATGAATCTGAAATAGTAAAACTGTTTTTCTTTCCTGTTGACAGGACTTTCTGCAAGATCTTTTTCGACAACATGGAAAAGCCATTTCTAAGGCAAAGCTGCAGGAGTACACTGACACTATGGTAAGCAGTGGATCTATAGTACCTGTTCCTTGCATTATTACACTAATTTCTAGACATTCTAGCCAGTATAAAGGTCTGTTGTATGGGAAGAATCTATATAGCAAAGGATAAGTATGAGATATCGAGCGTTTTTGTTGTGCTTATTTATCATTTATTTAAAAATATTTTAGGCTGCCTTTGAAAGTAGGAACCTCTCAAGGTAGCATTCAAGCTAAAAATCATACAACATAATGCAAAACAAATTCAATAAAATTTGGTAAATAAACATTTAAGAAAATTTCTATGAAAACAGATGTATCAGCAATGAACCCTGTAACTCAAGGACTACAGAAATGTCAGTGAAAACAGATGAGTCTTCAGATCCTACTTGAAGACCTGCAAAGAAGGGACCTGATGAACCCTTAATGAAAGCCACTTCTAGAAGTGTAGAGTTGCAACTGAAAAGGTGTGCTTCCTTGTACTCACCAGTCTAACTGCCCCTGTTAGCAGACAGGTGAGAAGGGCCTCCACAGATGACCTCAGAATCTATTCATGCTGGTACAGGAGAAGGTGGTTCTTCAGGTAACTTGGGCCCAAGCCAGTTAAGGCTTTAAAGATCAGACTTTAGATTGGACTCAGAAATTTATTTATATATTTTATTTATTTATTAAAACATTTCTATGCCACCCCTTGCCAAGGCCTCGGGGCGGCTTACAACATCGAATACAAAATACATTAAAACAATGACAATTAAAATATATACAGTAAAATAAAATAAGCCGCCCTGGAAATGCGCTGACTGGCACCATATTGGTGTCACATGAACAGACCACCCAGCTGTCATCAATATCTTGGGAACTGTATTACGTTTCCTTGAATTTGCCACATCATATTTAAAGGCAGTCCACATAAAGTATGTTAATGTAGCCCACCTTGGACATCATCAAAGCATGCATAACCAAGGCAAGTTCCTGTTTCTCCAGAGGGAATCCCAGCTGGTTTTCCTGCCTAGCCTCTTGTCCAATGCTGCCACTTGAGTTTCAGCAGTTAGCATCAAGTCCAGCAACACCGCCAAACTGTGTAGTTGCTTGTCTCGAAGGAGTGCAGTCTAATTTAAGACCAAATGTATTCTACTGTTCAGATGGTCAGATTTAACTTCATCTTGCCTGACTTAAGGTTCAGGCTGTTTTCTCTCATCCATCCCAAACTTCTCCTGACACTACTCTTTCAGCCTCCCTAAGCAACACTAGTTGGAAATGAGTGGCAGAGTTCAAGATCATCTTCATACTGATGGCACTATAGCTCAGACTTCCAAATGACTTCCTCCAGCAGTTTCATGTAAATATTGAAATGCATGGGGGACAAGACGGAAGCCTAAAGTACTCCATTGGCCAATGACCGTAGATGGAGCAGAAGTTCCTCCCACCATGACCTTTTGAGACTATTTCAGGAAGAACCAGAACCACCATGATACAATGGATCATATATTCTTCAGTAGGGATGTGCCAATGCCACAAAATCTGTTTGTTTTGTGAATTGTTAGGCAACTTTTCAGTCCATTGTGTGCACATTAGCAGAATTGGACTTTGTGAAAATACACTTAGGTGCATTTGTGCAAATTTACACTGTTGAAAACGTGAAAATTCTGCCAAAATATACAAATCTCTCCACAATGTGTATTTTTAGGCTCCAGCCTGTGGGGGAAATGCATAGTTTTGGTCTACTTTACATATTTTTGTGAATAATAATTAAAAACAGGTTTGCAAATCAGCAGAATCTGCACAACCTGAGAAAAGCTAGAAGTTCTTAGATGTTCAAATGTATCTGAGTCTGTTGCAGATTTTTCTGGCAATCCCAATTATAAAATTTCATTCAGTGTCCATGGTATCAAGGAAGCATGATGCCAGGAGTGCTCCTTTGCAAGTCCCCAACCATTATGAGCCAAATTAATAGGGAGCTGAAAGTAAATCCATTGATCAACCAGTCTGATGTAGGTGAAAATTTCTTCCTAAACCTCATTTGCCAGGTACCCTTAACCCTAACACAGAAGGAAAAAAAAAATCATTCTTGAAATCTTAGGGCTAGTCTGCTAAATCCCACCCCCTCCCTCCAGCTGTGAGTATCTCTAAGCACTTGGAGAAGGGGGACAGTATATTGCATTTTAAAAGGCTACTGGTCCTATGCAATAGCCTTCAAAATGTATCTCCTTTACCTGGAAATTTAATTTATTTAAGGAAGTATGGTTTTGCTAACTATTCTAACAGGTCTCCTCTATTGACCATGTGGCAATGTAACTCTATAATTGCTACCTCCTTTCATTTGGCCTCCTAATTTTACAACTGTTTTGAATGACTCCCATTTAAACAAATTAGATTGTCTGTCCTTAGTAAATTTTGTGTGTGTGTGGAAGGGAGGGAGGGAAAACATTCTGCAATCTACAAAGCTACATTTTGTCAATGCCACATGCAAGGAAAAGCTCATTACTGGTTTATTCATCTGCAAATCACATTACTGAAGCTGCCAAAATAATGACATCCGGACTAAGGTTATTATTATTCATTGGCTAGAATTGAGGGTCATGATAATATCAGTCAGGCTGTCAGCAATGGGCTTTCATTTGAGCGACACAATATGCTTCTATTGAATGAAGCAGCACCTTTGTCTACCAAACAACAGACGGTTCAGGGCATATGAAAAATCCATGTGCTATGTTTCTATGGAGCTTTTGCTTGGATTAACTCTCTGCTTCCTAAATCTTGTGAGTGTTGCTGTCTCTGTCTGTCCAAACGCTTGATGGTTAATTTTGTTTACTGGATGGAGCTGTTGCATGTAAAACAGGTTCAGATTAAGCCATGCAAATAGTTTGGTATTCAGATTCTAACCGCAGTGGTATGGGATGGAAGATACTACATGGAAGCAACTCCCATGCTACTGGCTTGAATGGGATTCCTGAGTGGGGCATGGGGAGAAACCTGTGGAAAAAGTATGGAAATGGTGCTGTGGAAACTGTAGGGGGGAGGGGGGAGGAGTAGTCTGCTTGAATCTGGCTGATCCGAATGTAACACTACATCATTGCCTAGTTGTACAAGAACAACCCTAGCCAATATCCTCCGTGCAATCCTCCAGCATAGGTGGGAGACATTCAGAAGCGTTTGCTTTCGATTTAGATTAGCCACAGCTTATTGTTCCATCCCAGATCAGACCAACTGTGGTTAATCTTTAATATGGTTGGTGAAAACAAGCCAGCTTCAGACAGTAATGTATTTAGAGCTGGCATGTATCACTAACCACAGTTTAGATTAACAAGTTTGTCAAATGATACACGAAACTGCGGTTAATGAAGGATGGAAATAGAAGCTTCCAGGGTTTGTATCCACTTATGTTCTAGGACTGTATTTGTAACTGCAGCAAATACCCCATTCATCTCCAGTGCACACCAAAACTTGTGGCGCTGCCTTGGAATGTCTAGCTCTTGAGGAAGTAGGAAATGCATGACCCTGATCTATGAATGGTGCTAACACAGTGGAGCTGATGCTTAAAAATTGGAAGAGGGGGAGGTTAGTCCTCTTCGGAAATATTAAATGCATTCATATTTCCCCCATCCACACACCCCTTGCAGGATTTTCAGAGCTTCATCACTAAGCATTCATAAAAGGAAAGTTAACCACTAGCCTCCTGCTGAATATTTTAGAACTACAGCCAAGCTGTGCTCTACCCCAAATCATCTTCATGCACTTAAAAAATTAAATCCTGTTTCTCAACACTCTTTTTGCATGAATTATTCATCGTTCTGCTCCATTCAACCTCTTTCCTCATCCACCTCTAGTCTCCTTTCTGACAAATGATGGCCATTTTCTTGCACCCTACAACAGAATTGTAGCAAAGAAAGGATGGGGGACTGAACAGGGAGGAAAATTAACCCAGAGGGGGAACCATCAGAATATAGCTAAGCAAAGTCTGAAAAATTTGCAGAGAGAGGAGAAAGTCCCTTATATTCATTAGGATGCCTGTCCTGATGCTAAGCCTGAAACATATTCTGCAGAGGCAAAGCTTTTTACCAGTGCCAAACACACTCATGAGACTTGACAAGATGTAATGCTCCCTTAAACTGCATATCTGAAGAAAGTGAGCACAAAAGACTTCCTCTGTTGGCCAATATCTTCTGAAGAGACTTGAAGAAGAATTGGTCCTGTGTCAGACCTCAGGCTCTGGGTCAAATTTGGCCCATCCCTGGTTCCAGTCCAGAAGGCCACATCCCTGCCTCCTTGTCTCACCCCTTTCCCCCCAAGTTTAGATGCTTCTCCCAGGGCTTAGCTACTAGCAGTAATGCTCTGACCCAAAACAGACTATTAATTTTGAGCCAGAACCTTTTACCTTCAGACCTTCTCACTCCTGGAATAACTTCTCCAAAATCGAATTTAGCCTTTGGGCTTAAAAGAGATTTGATAGTTCTGCTGTAGACATTTGTGGACATGGTTGCGTGAGGGTTGTCTCACCCTCAGCCAACCCCTGCTGCCCAGGTTTTCATGACCTGGCAACCTGAGGTAAGGTGGGCACTTGGCTCAACACAACAGCCCCTACAGGTATATGAAGCCTTGGTGAGATCTTGAGTTGCGCATACAAAGCCATCGCTCTAAAAGATGTCAGAGAGCATTTCATGTAACACTGTTCAAATGGGACTGGTCCCATCCTACCTAAATGGCATATAACAAACCCACCCATAAGCATGTCAACATTAATCTATTTTGGAATTTCACATACATCAGATGTAGATGATTCTCATTTATGTATTGCCATAGGATTGAGTGGCTTACATACAAAATAATTCTTATGTTTATCTACCTCCATGTTTAACCTGTTCTTTTCTCTGATTTCTGAAAAGACAATGCAAAAGACTGCTTCAGTGGAGTATTTAAGGAGAAAATTTGAGGACAGATCATTTTAAAGATAATTTGGGAAGAAGGAAACGTATTACATCTTTGCACACCTATTCAGGCATATGGGGAGTCATAAAGCAACTTTTCAAAGCTGCTGGGTTGCACTGGCCAAATGTCCCCAGGAGAAATATGGGAAGGGCTCATCATTGCACCTCCGGCACAACCGCTCTCATGACTCACAACAGCATGGGAAGTATCACTCTGAAGAATACAAGTGGGTTGCACGCTCAGTTTCTCTGCCACCACTCCTAACAGTAACCATTTTACAAAGGCCTCCTCTCTGCTTTTTAGATGAAGCTCTTTGACAAAAATAAAGATGGACGGCTGGATCTGAACGACCTGGCAAGGTAGGCATCATCCACTTCATGATGGGTTTATTGAATGTGCAGTAGCTTCGACAGGCGTAACTTTCCTCACTATTTCATCTCCATGCCCTAAAAGAGACACCTGTGGATTTTCTGCCTATCATGCAGCTGCTAAAGCCTCAGAACCGAGACAGAAGTTCTAAGCCTTTAGCAGCTAAGGTGTCACAAGCTGCTGCTGCTACAAATGACAACCCACACGTCATACTCCTCCATTCTTGTGAGATCAGTCAAGCAGAGCAGTCTGTCTCGGTGGAGCAGATAATATCTGAGAAGATAATGAATCAGCTCTTTCTGTGTAGGATTCTGGCTCTTCAGGAAAATTTTCTGCTTCAGTTTAAACTGGATGTAAGTACAATCATTTTCAGTGGCATTAATTCCCATTTTACCCTCATTTCTGTAATTTTCCTTTTTTTTTTTTAAAGAAAATCCTTATTGCTCTCTCTTCTTCCCTTCCATTCAGGCTTGTAGTTCAGAAGAAAGGAGGAGAGATTTTGAGAAAATCTTTGCACACTACGATGTTGTAAGTTTACCGCACCCCGGGGTCAATTTTCTTCCCTTGGAGAGGTGGCTAGCATGGTTGTTTCAGCACTGCTGGTGAGTGGAAGAAAGCAGATAAGAGTGCAGATTCCCAGTCCCAGAGTCACAGCTCTGTCTCCAGATTCAGTTCTGGGACTCTGAATTGTCCCATGGCTCCCCAGACACTGGCTGGTGGGCTGTAGGGTCACTCACTCAGTGACGCTGCATTAGCTTTGCCCTACTGGTGGGAATTCACTAATGTTTATGCTCATGTTCCTTGCATGCTACAGTAATACATTGTAAGGGCTCGGCTGGTTTCAAGTCAAGAAGAGGAGCTTCTAAATCACCCACAGATCACCTCTCAACCACCCCAACTGAGGCACAGACACTGGTTCAATATTACACTACCCTTACATGGTAGAAGGTGGTCATGTTTTGTTTTTGAGATATTACATTTCCAACTATTTCTTTGTTAAACTGGACAATGGTCCTGCACGCTGTTTCTGACATAAAGCTCCTTGGAAGCTTCTGACATTCTTCAGGCCTGACCCTGAACAAAATGGGGTTCCAGGTGCCCCCTCTTTCATCCTTTTAATGTTTGGATTCCTTACTTGGTAGAAGCACATTTCTTCTCTCCGATAGACAAGCAGTGTGTGTGGTTCATTCCTAACATACAAGATGAAAAAGATGCACTTTTGGATCCAATCTCTATCTCATGAGATACACACATATATTTTGTCAAATGCACATTGATGCTATACATTTTATAGCAAATAAGACCAAAAACATAGTTCAGAGCTGGATATGCAAGTCACTGTCAGCTATTTACAAATGAAGATTAATTGTTTGTATTACTTCTGTCAGCTGTTGAGTACTTGAGTAGATAACCTAGCAGTAGTGCCCCAACTCAGAAACCTGCTCCCTAGAGAGGTGTGCCTGGTACTGACGCTTTATTCATTTCGATGCCAGGCCAAATCCTTTTTAATTTCCCTATATTTTAAGGTTTGATGTTATTTTTATTATTGGTTTTATTGCATATTTATATTCTATATGTGCTGCTTATTGTATCACTGTCCTGAGACCCTTGGTATTGGATGGGATATAAATGTTTTGAATAAATAAATAAATAAAATAAACATGACAAGAGTTCTCTGAAGCTGCCTGTCACCAGAATCGCCCGTCTGTAAATGTCTCACTCATCCCAGGGTGTTTATCCCCAGAATCTTTGATAGAACTTAGAGGCACACATTTATGCCAAATGGAAAGTTTTCATCAAGAATGAATTGATTTTATCCTATGATTTAACAGACAATAGTTAAGTTGTTCCAGAAATATTTCGGAGATTTCATGCTAATTGGTCTTTTACATTACTAGACTGTATCAATTAAATTTTGCATAACTTTGACATGATTAGCAACTGAGAACGTTTAAGGTTAGATGTTGTGATGTCTTTAGGTCTTCCCTCATTTGGTTTATTTCCAGTATATTTTAATACATATGCAAAGACTGATATACTTGCTACTGTCTCATTCCATGGGATGCAAAGAAGCTGTTGCTACAAGCACTCATCTCACAACATATTAGTTGCCACTTGTGTCACACCACTTGTGAATCCACCCGTTATAGCAGGGGTTACAAGAACAAGAGGACAGTTGTCACACTTCTGTTAATGTTTGAATCAGTTCTGATGTCCATTTTCAAGGCAGATACCATGAGAAAGCCTTAGTATGAAGACACAAATTACCCAGTTGCTCCCACTGGTGCTGAACCTCAGGCCTTCCAAGCTTTCCTGAGCAGCCCCAGCCACTCTTGGAACAAAGCCTTAATTTCTCAACAATTGAATTTGCCCCTCAGTCTGAAAGAGGTTCAACACTCCCAGCACATAGCTTGTGAGGCTAACGTTAATATCGCCAGAAAGGAAACACACAGAAACTGTAGGGATGCGGAATATACAAACATGTATAATTTTGTGTGTATTCCAGAGCAAGACAGGAGCACTTGAAGGCCCAGAGGTGGATGGCTTTGTGAAAGATATGATGGAACTTGTAAAGGTGACTTCCTAGTGATTTTATGTTTTCCTCCATAGCTTGTTACCAACATTTCTTTAAAATCATAGAGTTTGAAGATACCACCTAGTACACCTTACTGGTAATTCCTTGGTTCAGTAGCTTAAAAGCGTTAAGTCATAAAAACAAATAACTGAGTTTAAGTCTGTTGTGGTTTGAGAGTTTTTAATTGCTTGGAATCTATCCTCTTCATTGCCCTTTTTATCATAATTTTATGGGCAGGGGTGGTTTTAATATTTGTTGTTGGTTTTGTCTTGGCTTTATTCAAAGCCATTTAAAATATATATTTATGTTTTGAATGTATTGCATAGCACCCAGAGAACTTGGGTGGTTGCAAAGTACAGTAAATATATATATTAATAATTCACATAAATATTAGAAATATAGCTACTGAGTAAAAATAAATATTTCATCTTCTAAATATATGCCTCTCTCTCTCTCTCTCTCCTCACTTTTAGCCCAGTATCAGTGGAACAGACCTGGACAAGTTCCGCCAGATCCTGCTTCACCATTGTGATATGAACAAGGATGGAAAAATTCAAAAATCTGAACTTGCCTTGTGTCTGGGAATTAAAATTACCCCATAGGTCTGCATGTGCTCCCCCTGTGGTTTGCCAGTTCTGGTCTTTTGTGAGAGACTGTGGTATTGGGTAGAACATTTGTAGCGCTCTGTTTGTTGCAATCTCTGTTTTGCTGAACCTAAAAGATAGGGGCGCCTCACAGTGGATATAAATATTCATTTACAAGGATGCAGCCAAATGGAAACCGGATGATGATGAGCAGTGGCTAGTTTCACATCGTCCAAGCAATGATATTACCAATGTGATTTCTAGCCAGTCCATCAGAAGGGTAGCAGGACTGGTCCTACATAATGTTACACTTGATTATATGGCACCCCCTAGGCTAGATCTCTAGTGCTAGTGCCTCTTTATTCTTTCTCAGTGCTCCATGTTTGTGACAACTGTGCAATGTATGAAGCTGACAGTATGTGTTTAAGGTGCACAAGTGTTATGGTATTGGAAGCATTATGGTACTGGAAGCTGCTCGATGTATTTGCATAAGAATAAAAGCAGCAGTTTAGAAAACAGAGTACAGCTGCTGTCTGTATTCACTTACCATATGTAACACTGCACAGACTCGTGACTGTACTGTACTAAGCTGATTTGGTATCTTTCTCTCTTTCATGGAACATAGCAAGTGGCAAAGAATAATATCACTGGAAACAGCAGAGAGAGTGCTGGACAGAAACATCAAGAAGTGTTCCTCTCCTCAGAATGGAGCGTTTCCTGATCCAAAGAAGCTCTTTGGCAGTGGTCTGCTCTTACTGCCGTTCCATTCCAGTTCTTTTCCTTGTGTTGCATGTGGAATCTGTCTGTCTATGGACACATCAATCCATCAGTTAGCTTTTGACAACACTCTCCTCTGAGTCTGTCCAAGTCTCTTCACATCTGGTCTTTCGATCCAGAATATGTCAGAAAGAAATTTCTCCTTAATGCACCCCATTTTTCACTACCGTGGGACTTCTAAGTCTCTTTCTCTTTGGCAATACTACCTCTGTCATGGATAGGCACCGTTGTATATAATGTAAACCAAATACACTTATTATGTACAGTTCATTTCAGGAAAGGTTCCTGCTTCTGGTGCAGGTGAACCAAAGCTTCGCCTCAGGGCTTGAGACTCTTGGGCAGCATACTCATTCTTTGCTACACCTCCTAGTAGCCAAAGCTCTCTAGGAGATTTACCAAGATAAAAACCATTTACATAGAAACAAATGCAAAGAGGGACATGTTTAAAATACCATTAAACCAACAATAAGGAAGATTTGGAAGATCTGATCAAAACCACATGGGTGCTGTTAAATGCATAAGGGAAGAGAAAGGCACCTGGCACCAACAAGATAATAATGTTGGTGTCTCTTCAGGGAGATGGGTCCATAACTGGGGTTCACCAAGGAGAAGACCCACACCTTAATGGCCACCTTGAAGCCTCCCTTGGAGGAGGCTCCTGGAAGAGGGCATTAGATGATGACATCGCATATGGTTAGGTTCATGACAGGAGGGATCCTGCTATTGCAGTCCATCAAAAATACCACATTGAGTTGGACTCAGAAACATACAATTGTCCAGTGCAAGCCAGCCAGAACAGTGTTATATGCTCAAATCTGATCACGGTTATTGGTGTAGCTACCGTGTCTTGCAGGAGCTGCAGCTTCTGAACCATCTTTAATGGCAGACCCATGGCACTAAGCTAAGCTGGAGGTTACCAGACATAGAAAACTGGTAACCTCCAGTTTTCCAACCTCCAACTGGTAACTGGTCAGGTTGTCCTTTTCCAGGTAAGAGCAGAGATAGCAGGAGGCAGTCCATGCCACTGAGGCTACCTGTGCAACTCAGCACTTTGGGAAGCAGGGAGGTGATGGATTCTACAGCAGGCATTTTCACCAGCCTCGTAATCCCTGCTGGCCAATGCCTCTCTCTCTGTCTCTCTGTCTCTCTCTCTCTCTCTCTCCCCCCCCTCCCCCAAAGTCCTGGAAGAAAACTTTGAAAAGGCACAGAGCTGGTTGCATGCCAATGCATGCCAGCCCACCTTCATGAAATGAAGCTTCTTGTTAGTAGCAAAAATCTTAACCAAGAAACAATTTCTTGGCAGAAATGGATTTCTGTCTGTTACAAACAGGGCTAGGAGCAAACGGAATGCCCAGTGGAATACATAAGCAGAGGCCTCTGTTGGTTTGGCCAGCTATAGCAAAAGGCCACCATAACTTGAACAATGGGAAAGATTTTGTTTTGTGCCTTCTTTTCATATTATGATGTGCTGTTTCTGCCTCTCTAAAGCCAGCTGTACCTTTTCTCCACCTTCAATGAGCTTTCATTGTGAGCCAAGCGTACTGGCTTCCATCCAGGTAAAATTAAGCATTGTTCATTTAAACACTTTAATGGGACTCAAATATGCTTTGCTTCCTTTATATTGCATGCAGTCTGACAGTATTTTTGTGTAATGCTGTTAGAATAGAAGCAGTGCCAGCAAGAGAACTTTTTCTGAGCAGCCCTCCCTAACCTACTCCCCTTCAGATGTATTAGAGGACAATTGCCAAGAACGCCAGCCAGTGATGATAGAAGTGGTAGTTCAGCAACAGAGGATGGGCAAATCCTTTACTTCCTGGGGGGATCTGGGAAGGCTCGAAAAGGCACCGCAAGCTATTCCTTCGAAGGGGGCAAGTGACACCGCATGTGCAAGTCACAGGGAAAGAAGCCGTTGTGGTGGACAAGGCAGGCAGAGGGAGCTGGAAAGCAACTGAGGCATCTCCACGTTTCTGCTTTTTTGCTGAAGCCCAGATAAGAGGCATCCTCTTCCCCACCAGCCTTCTGGAGCTGCTCCTCCTGGCTCCAGAACAGGCCCACAAGTTTAGTGCACCCTGACTGGGGCAAAAGTGTAATGCAGGAAGTGCTGTGATATACCTGTTCTGAAGAAATACAGGATTTAATGGCAGAAATAGTGCGAGGAGGACGGGTTGTGGTCAGCATCAATGCCATAAACAGGTCTCATGATTACCCTGAGTCTAAGAATCTTACAAAGCCAAGCCGGTGCTTTGGTAGCATAAGACTTGCCCTAAAGGGCAAAAGCAGCCCTTTAAGGGTACAGTTCCTACCTTAACCAGAGGTCAGTCCAGGAGTGTGGCCCACCCACCCATTTTAGGAAGGGGGCAGCCTAGATTCTGGCTTGTCTCTGCAAGAAAAATCAAGTTGTCAATGCACATTGCGCTTACAAGTCTTTCATTTTCCTTGAGGCGCTCTTTTCTCTCAGGAGGGCTTTAAGCATGTTTGGACTGGCCAGTTTAGCTCTTTAGCCATGCTAGCTGGGGGTGATGGGAATCACTGCCCAGTACATCTGGAGGGGTGGACTGGAGGGCTGGGCTGGGCAGGGCAGGCAAATCCAGGTTCCAAATTTCACCATCCCTCCAGCTTGAAAGCTGATTGCACAAGCCCCGAGACTGGACACTGTGCTTCAGCTTAATGTACCACAATTGCTTTGTGTTGCTGGCAGGAAGGGTGAGAAGCAAATGGAAACGATAAATATAATGTTTTCATCTCTCAGAAAATAGTGGTCACATATCAATTATTTCAGCCTACATCCGCAGGAGAGTCAGTAAAGTTTTGAAAGTTGGGTTCTCATTTTTAAAATGTGTGAAAACTGCCTCCAGCTATAAAATAACTGAATGTCAAAACACCTCACCAGGCAGAAATAGGAGCAGAATGTCAGGAAGAAAGGGGGAAGATTTGCAGTGGGATATATTAATAGCTTTTTAAAGATTGGTAGGACTTTAAATAGCACAATAATAACTGTGGCAATGTTACTAATAGAGACCATTCACCTTTTTCAGTTTTGAATAGCAAGGATGTTGTGCTTTTGACATGCATACCTAACATATACCTACTTAGTATGTTGAAGCTGCAATCCTATAACTGGGACCAGAAAGTCTGAACATACAACTCCAGTTCTAGCCTATCTGCATGCTTCTGAGCTCAATTCAAGGTGCTGGTTTTAACCTATAAAGTCCTGTACAGCTTAGGTCCACTCTCCTGATCTGAAATGCCAGGCAGCTATGATCCTTCTCCAAGGGAGAGTTAGAGGGTAGCAACAGGGGCAGGGCCTGATTAGTGATTGCCCCCTGCAGAAACTTGTCTGGCCTCAATGCGATCATCTTTTCTGTTTCAGCTCAAGGTTACCCTCTGCTGCCAAGTTCTGAATTAATGGAATTAAATGGTAAATGAAGGAGCATCTACAGCGGCTGTCTTTCTAACATGTCTAGTTGAAAAACTGGACATGTTAGTTGTTTGAAATGTTTTAATTTTATATACTGATATTTTAAGTGGCATTTCATTATCTGTATTGGTGTTTGTCATGACTTGTTGTGAACTGCCTGGAGAGATTCAGCAGTAGAGAAATCAAATCAGATCAATCATATTGGCATTTACCTGAGAATAAGTCCAATTGAACTCAATATGGCTTGCTTCAGAAGAGACATACATAGATAGGATTGCGCTGCAACAAATTAATCCTGTTTTGCTCATTTTTTTCTGCAAAAAAGAAACAAAAAAGGAAATTATCCTGATTTCCTGATTTTACAAAATTGTGGTGCAGAAAGGAAATTTAGCAAGAAACCTTGGAATATGAAGAGGTCTCTTTTGTTCTTTGGTGGATGAGAGTCTTTAAAAAATGAAATTAGAGCCCCTGTTTGACACAGTGGCTTTTTTTGTTTGCAAGTTTTTCTGAGGCTACACACAAGTTTATCTTGCTATGCAGAAAAGTACCAAAATGCAGAATGCTTTTTGTATATTGAACTGTGTGTTCCAATCCCCCCCCCCTTTTTCTGCATTGCCTTCAAAAGTCTCCAAGTGAGTTCTCATGGCAACATAGCTACCAATTGTAAAACCAAGCCAAAGCAAGCTGGAATGCTGCTTTGGCTCTTCTCCCCAACATATCAACGTATTCATCCCCTTCACCATCAAGAGCCAAAACGTCATCATCAGCTGCAGGTGCAGAAGCAGCTACGCCAGAAACATGTGATGGCATGGACCTAGCAGCC